CTCACAATTTCTGATTTTAAAACTTACCACGGAGCTACAGCACTAAGACAATACACTACTAGCATAAGGACAGACACACAGACCAAAGGAATAGCATCGATAATCCAGAAATGAACGCTCACATTGGTGCACAATTTTCGGCAAGAGTGCTTAACTCGATGGAGAAAGAACAGATGCTTTCAGCAAACGGTCATGAGACAACTGAATAACTACTGGCTAAAGGATGGATTGGACCCGTATCTCTCACATTACACAAAAGTAACTCAGCAGGGATCGCAGACCCAAGTGTAAGAGCTAAAATTGTACAACTCTCAGAAAATAAAACAGGTCCATTCTTCGTGAACTTGGACTGAGCAATGCCCAGACACCAGGAGAAAACACAACAAAAGAGAAAATACATAAAGTGGATGTCACCGAAAGGAAAATTTCTTGGGCTTCGAAGGACGTCACAAAATCAGAAAGAGCCCAGAGCGGATTCTGTAGGTCACACGGGTGATAAGAGATTTGGAGGTAGATATGGAAAGAATTCTCACGGGTCCCCAGTAAGATGATAACCCAATTTAAAAGGGACCAAAGGACATTTCTCCAAGGAAGATACACATGTAAACCCATGGAAGTACCCTCAACACCACCTAACTTTGGGAAATGCACGTCAAAGCACAATGACCCAGATTCACACCCACTGGCACGGCTACACTCGGAAGGACTGTGGTAATTAAGGACTGGGTTGAGCTATCATTTTCAAATCATGAACATCTAGTCCAAATGGAACTGAAGGTTTTTAAATGATTTAGTGAAAGACACACAGCATCAAAATGGAACTAATAAGATGACGTCGCTGATGACAATATTGGTAAAGGTAAACATTTATATCAAAAGAAACTTTTTCATACCATTTCAAAAATAAATCGGATTTCATTCCTATCTAAAAATACAAAAGGAAACTAATTAAAAGAGAGGTGTGTAGAACTTCATAGGTTAACTTTTAAAAAAATAAGAATGCCAGTGATTTATATGAAAGTAGAGTTCAAGAGGGAAAGGGGGCACACGCCTGTAATTCTAGCATTCTGGAGGCTGAGACAGGAGGATCACCACAAATTTGAGGCCAGCCTGGGTTATATAATAAGAACATCTCAAAAAAAAAAAAAAAGAAAGAAAGAAAGAAAGAAAAGAAAAGAAAGAATTAAAGGAACAATTAAAAATAACCAAAGAGAATCATTTTTGATACAAAATATAAAGTTCAATAGACATAATTTTAGCGTAAGAGCTAAAATTACAGTAAATGTGCTAAATATTACAATAACAAAATATGTGCACTGAAAATTGTAAGACATATTAGCAGAAATTAGTAAAAAAAATTCAAATACCACTAAGTTATTGACAAATCAAGTGGAAAAAAAA